GCAAATCAGTATTCCTCTGATCAGGAGGCTTTCAAGAATTTTTCCTCATACTATTTAAAATACTTCTTCAGGAGATCATATAAATATATACACACATATATTTATATAAATGCCTACAAAATTAATAAACAGCATAAATAATTATTGTGATATTTACTCTTTTTTTCCTCTCTTTATAGCATGCCTGAGGTTGTTACTAGCACCATTTCTCACTCATTCTCTTTAGAACAAGATGCAGAAGTTCCCAGGTAAGATAAACTTATAATGTTTTATTACAATAAAAAAATGGACTATCCTTATTAAATTTTCAGTCTAAAATAACGTGATGTGTAGATTCGATTACAAAATATTTGCAGTTATAGGATATTGTTACCTGCAAACTCTAGTACTAAGTAGTCTTTCTTGAAATCTTTTTGTACTGTAATCCTTGCGGACCATATACTCTTGTGTGTTGGCCACAATATCACATTAATTAAAACATGTTAATTCAGAGCTACCAGGTTTCAAAAGAAGTCATGCTTTGGATTTCTGGCTCCAGACAGAACCATTATAATTGTATAATATTACTGTAGAAGATACATTGTTATGTAAAACACCTAAACAATAACACTATAACCTTATATTCATATATTTATAAAATTATTAAAATGTATATGTCCTACCACAACTGCTACATACACATAAATATATACATAATATCTCTATAAACAGGGAGAATGTTGGAATTTGGGAAAAAGGTTAGGAGTCAGTTTCAGGGTTTCACTTGCAGAATAGTCCTCTTATAATTTTTTTCAGTCTAGAGGAAGATCTGAACTACACATCCCTTTAGATTCTATATTCATGTGTCTCTAAACTTATTTCCTTACTGATTCTTTGGGCCAACTTTCTTAAAAAAAAAAATTTCGTAAGTCTTTACGGTTTCAAGCCCTGCTTACACATTCTAATTCTCTTCCAAAACATTTACTGTTCCACTTTACACCTATTATATAGCCAAACCTTTTCAGTATCACTCATTTGCCATCGCTTTATGCTTCTTTCTTCACATGCTTGGAGGCTATCCTGTTTCAGATGTGACAAATCCTTCAAATTGCCTATACCTATAGCAACGTCAGCATTTTTCTTAAATAGAGAAATCTCTTTTGGGTCAATTTCTGTGGGTATAGGTATGGTCTTTCAGTTTCTTTATAACTTAATTTAAAGCCCAACCCTCTCTTCTTTATTTAGGGACTTAATCTACCTAATAGTCTTCACCTGTAAAAAAGTCATTATCTCTGTGAGAAAATACAATATTATTTGGTACATGTTCTTTTCATTCTAACTGTAAGAATCTTTAAAATTTTCTGGGCTCATTTAGGATAACCTCATGTAGGTCCTCTGAACTATGACTGCTTTTCATAGTTTTGTTCTTCATTTTAAGTAATGCAGATATTTCTGTGAGTGATGGTCAGCCTTCTCAGACTGCTGTGTCTGCTAGGTCAAGTGTTGCCTCCAACACTTCAATTTCTGCAAAAAATCAAGGACTCATGGAGGAAGTCCCTACACAAGAGAAATTAAGCACATCAGAAACTGTCGGACAGATGCTCCAAGAGGAAATGTTTAAATTAGTTCAGGTAAGAGCATCTCATTGTTGAAAATAGTGCAAACAATACAAAACTGTGTTATTTAATTAAAAGAGATAGGCAAATACTGTTTTAAAGTACTCTTGTGCAGTTGGTTTTGAAAAAGATATCCAGTTCCACATAACTACTGTGAAAAATTAGTTTATACTTAACTCTTGTTTTTGATTCAAGAAAATGAGTAATATAATAAGAGCTTGAGTGTGTCGCGATTACTGAAACTCAATGTGCTCTAATGGTATAGATGAGGAAAAAAAATGAAGATGTAACAACTTAGCACCTATACTGGGGTTTTAATTTTTGTTTGTACATTGAGACAATTTTTCATGACCTTACATTTACTAAAACTTCACAAAAGAAAGTAAAAGAATTTGTCTTGCTTTAGCATAACCTGTCTGTTGTATGTTTTTCACGTATCTTCAAAGAAAGCCCACTACAAAAAAACACTTATACAAATGAATCAGTATTGAATCTTTGGTATGTAGTTTATTTTGTCACCTAGATCAACAGAATAATGAACAGAATCACAGAACCGCCACAATGGTTGGAAAGGACCTCTAAGATCATCAACCATTAGCTGACTTTACAAGGCCACTCACTGCTACACCATATCCCTGAGCACCCATCTAGCTGGCTTTTATATAGGGTGTGTGTCCACCCCCTCCCGGGGAAAGCCTGTTCCAGCCCTTGATCACCCTTTTGGTGTAGAGGTTTTTCCTGATGTTGAACCTAAACATCCCCTGGTGTAACTTTATACCGTTTCCTCTTGTGCTGTCAGTTGGGGCATGTAAGAAGAGGCCAACACCCACTTCCCTACAACATCCTTTCAGGTAGTTGTAGTGAGCCATAAGGTCTCCCCTCAGCCTCCTCTTCTTCAGGCTATACAAAAATCCCAGTTTCCTCAGCCGCTCCCCATAAGACTTATCCTCAAAACCCTTCACCAACTTTGTTGCCCTTCTTTGAACCCTTTCCAGAACTTCAATGTCCTTGTCCTGTCAAACTGAACACAGCACTCAAGATGAGGCCTCACCAGTGCCAAGCACAGTAGGACCATCACTCCTCTAGTCCTCCTGACTGCACTACTCCTAATCCAAGCCAAGATGCCATTGGCCTTCTTGGCCACCTGTTAAGTCAGCTGTCACTCAACCCCCTCAGGTCCCTTTCTGCCAAGCAGCTTTCCAGCCACTGCTCCTCAAGTCTGGAGCTTTGCCTGGGGTTGCTGGGGCTCAAGTGCAGGACTCGGCACTTGGCCCTGTTCAAGCTCATTTAGCTGACCATGGCCCATTGGTCCAGCCTGCCCAGGTCTCTCTGAAGGGCCCCCAACCCTCCAGCAGATCAACACACCCACCCAACCTGGTGTCATCTGCAGAGGTACTGAGGGTGCTCTCAGTCTCCTCACCCATATCACTGGTGAAGCTGTCAGAGAGGAGCGGCCCCAGCCCTGAGCCCTGGGCACAGCGCCTGTGACCGGCCCCAGGCAGATTTGACTCCACTCCCACCACTCTTTGGGCCCGGGCACCCGGCCAGTGGAGACCCAGTGGAGTGTGTCCCCAGCCAGGCCCCGGGCAGCCAGCTGTGTGGGGGGAATGCTGTGGGGCACAGGACCAAAGGCCTCACTGAAGTCCAGATAAACAACAGCCACAGCCTTCCCTCAGCCACCCAGCGGGTCACCTTGTTACAGTTACAACATAGTTTAGACATAGAACTTTTTGCTAAGATTCCCATTAAAGTTGGTTATAGTGTTACCTTTGTGTGTTTGTATCCAGCTACAGCAAATCAACTTCATGAGTTTAATGCAAATAGTGCAGTCATCCTTTGTCAACCTGCCAAATGTGCAACAAATTTTGCAACAGCATCAAGCTGTTGACCTGGGAGGCAGCCAGCGTGCACGCACTGCTGAAGGCAAGGGCTCCCTGAAAACACAACTGCCCAGTGAAGAAGTTGAAGGAAAACCTGGTCAAAAGAGCTCACAATCCGAAAGCAACAACGGCAATATAAAAGTAGGTGTATCAAAGTGTTGTTTACAAAGACCGTTCTGTATATTTGGTATGTTATCTAGCCTGTTAAATTAGGAAACGTTTTTGTACTAATTGCTGAAGATAAAAAAAGGTTCATACCATTTTTGTGCCTATTTAGTGCACGATTGCTGTTTCAAGGTATTTGTAAATCATGTTCTGTTTGGTTTTCTGATTTAGAATCACCTGGATGTGAGTGTTTCCTTAAGCTTATTAGAAAGCCACAGTGAAGAAACAGGATTTATGCCACCATCTCAAGATTTGCCTTCTTTGGTGCCTACTAAACAACTTCATCTCCTAGCTCCTTCCTCAGACCTCCAGAAAACACCAAAGCTTATCCCTATTAAAAAAAGTCTGAATTACTCAAATGGATTTCCTTTGCTTAAGCTTGAATCAGGTTGTCGTGTCAAACTGGCATCTTTACATCCAATAGAAATGCCATCAGCCAAACCACCTGTGGTACCACGAGTGGCTTGGAGCTTGTCAGATTCCACAAGGAACCATCAGTCATCTTACTCACCAAGAAAGAGTGAGTCAGAAGAACATTTGAACATGAGTAGATGTGACCCTGAGGTCCCAAGGCAAATGCATAAGGAAGAGAAAAGATGGGCAGAAGGAGTGCATAATGGACCTCCCAAACACTTGAATCTACATCAGTATGAAGAACAGCAAGAAGTTTCACCTTGGCAGCAGTTCACTGCGGATGTGAATATGGACAGAGCACTGATCACTCAGAACCCTGTTGGTATTCCACTGTTGCACTTGCAGCTTGACCCAGTACCTAGACCTCCACCAGTTGTAAGACAGCCGATCACCACTACTTTAATACCTCTTAAACCTGCAACAAAAGAATCTGACTGCAGAGAAGCACTGCAGCACACAGGAATGTCACTACTCCATGCTAATTTACCTCAAAAAAAGAAGGTACTGGATTTTAATTATTTTTTTCTAAATTCTGGTGGTTTTTTTTTCAGTTTCATGGTTTCTTATTCATCAGAAGTAACTTGTTTCCAGTCTTTGGAAGTGTTTTTCAAGAATTTGTAAGTGTTCAGCATGGCTACCATAAGGGTTGTGAAATTAAGGTACCTTCATATTGTCGTGTCAATATGAGACAGACTGTAAGCTTTGAAATGTTTTTAATGACATTAGATTGAGTCCATATTTCGTAATTAATCAACATTCAGCCCATTAATAATGAATGTAAGGAATTTACTGTCTAAAATACTGGATAATATTTGTATGGTAAAAAATAATTCTCTTTTTGCAGAAATTTAAGTATATTAACAGAAATACAAAGAATGCAGTAAGGAACGGAATGCTGAAAGGCTTGGTAGGAAAACCTTATCTTCTGGATGTTGAGGACTTGATATTTGTGAAATGTGGTTCTGATAAACTTTTAGAAGCTCACACAGTCTGTCTGAGAAGAGCTTCTTCAGTCCTTGTCTACACTGCACAGTTCCTACCTTCATTCTCTACCCCATATACTAGAAATGCAAATATTAGTGAAATACATTCTGTGGAAAAAAAATCATGTATTTTAGTTTACTTTAGAAAATAATTTGCACATGTGCACGTTAGCCAAGATTACGGTCTGATGCTGTTAACATTACATTTTCACTTTCTCTACAAATTGCTACAGGAGTTGTTTGTGTCACTGAGATCTGAACTGGACACACTGTTCTCATTCAGTCTAACCAGGGTTCTCCCTCTGCTTTCTGTATCATTGTTTCATTTTTGCCTCTGTCTTTCTCCGGATGCTTTCAGGCACCAAAACTCATTCCACTTCAAGATCTCATTGCATTTGAGCAACACCACCAGCATCATACCATGCCCGGTACTTCCTTTGGACAAGATCAGACTGAACCTATCCAGTTACTAAGAACTGACGTTGAACCATTTGAACTAAGAGATGTGCAGAATAATGTAAAAAGGCAAGCCAAACTTTTAAAGTGGGTCTTCATTTGGGTACACTTACTGGTAACCTATACCTTCTAGCTTTACAATCAGTGAGAGCTTTCAGAGCAGCTTCAAATGAAGTGGGATTGGATGTGATTCCCTTGGAGGAAAATAAACCAGCACATAGTAGTAGAGACACAGCCAGAGAAGTATAGCATTAGGGCATGAAGGGACCAGGCTGATAGCAAGAAGATTCAAGGAAAAACGTTTTCCATACTGGTATCTGTAGTTTAAAGTCTTCTTGTCATTTGTCTGTTCATTATATACTGCTTATTAAAAGTTTTGCTGATTACACAATGAATCTTAATAGACTACTGTAAGCACTTCATATGGTCACTGTTAGTAGTAATTTTCAAGAAGGAAAGGGTTAGATTCTTTCAATGTACTTCAAGATACAGGCTCTGTTTCTGAATACAGACACTGATTAGCAAAATTTCTGCTGAGGGGGTATTTTAGTCTATTTTGCTAGGTGTGTTTTTGATTAATTCTGAAATGTTATTTATACTTTGTTAATTGATTGCACAAGCAGTTAGAAGTTCATTTAAGCTGCATGCATATCTTTGGCAAGTTCTTTTATGAAGTTGGTAGATTCCTGATGTTTCACATACATGTGTCCCATGGAACAGTTACTAGCATCTCTGTGTCTGGAACAGAACACTTGCTTCTGGTTATGGCACTTTTAAAGGAACCTGACTCTAATATGTGTTTCTTACTCTTAAGATTAAAAACAATTGATACATGAGTAACTGCAGCTGGAGTTTAGAATACCTGTTTTGATATTATCTGCTGAGGTGCTTGAGGCTACTGCAACTGTTGTCTTATAATGTACTTATCAGATATTAAAGAAAATTTTAAACTTTTTAAGTGAAAGAGTTAATGAGAAAGTTCTGATAATAATAGAGGTTTGTTTCTTGCTGCAGTATTTCTTATACATTCTTTACAGACATTTTGTGTAGTAGTAATTATTTTTTTATACACAAAATATACAATTGTACAGTTATACAATTTGTAATATTTAATGTAAATAGCTTATTAGACAATTAACAGATTTGGTCGTGATTAAGTATTTTTATGAGTTCCTACAACAGTTTTATATAGTCTTCTGGTAAGGCCAAAGTAATGCATTAAAGTGAACTGTATAAAACAGGTGTCTGTCTTTTTCATCTTTATTTCAGTGTGTAGTTCTTAATAGTAGTATTTCTTAGAAAACAGTTATAGGTATTTTTATTACTTCAGTGCAGTTCTAATTTTTTACTTGTAATTAATATGTTCTCAGGCAAAAGAGACGTGATCAGAAAGAAATGAAACAGGAGGAAAAGAAGAAACAAAGTGTGTCCTTCTGCCCAGATGACTCTGTCATCTGTATTAGTGATACAATGATGGCTGTTGAATCAGTGACTGGGGTACAGAAATTTTTTTTCTTTTTTTGCATTCAAGTATTAAGAGGAAAGAAAGAAGCAGGAAACTCTAAACAAAACAATCATTTAAATCTCTTCCAGGCTCTAACCTAGATATAGTCTACATCTTTCGTTCATATACTTGTATTTACTGTAAACAAGAGATTTATTTTTATGAATTATTCCAAGGTTGCTTTCTTTTTCTGTAACATGAACTTGTCTATTTTGATAGGATGATTGCCTGTATGTACATTTAAAGTAAATATACCAATGCTAATTGCTTAAGAAAAAAAAAAAAGAAAGAAATATGTCTAGCCTAGCAGTAGTGCCAGGACAGATGACCGAGGTGTTACTCTTTTCACATGAGGTTAGATGATGTCAGTAATGAGGATAGGAAGCACAAGGTCTCAGTTCTGTCTTAACTCAGAAACTGAAAAGAGAAAGCATTCATGAAGCTGGGGTTAGCTTTATGCACTTTTATTTGTTTGCCTTGGCCTTTCTGATATCCTTCAACATACTGGGGAGTTATTGCTGCAAGTGCTGCATTTCAAGCTAGAATGCTAACTGATTTAAAGATGGATCACTACCCAGAGCAGCAGGCTTGAACCATGCCTTCTTTGAGACTTTCCTGTCCAGCACAGCAGTTGGAGAGCCTCACTGGTTAATTATGGTACAGCAGTGATAGCATATACTCAAAGAAGAATGAAGAATCTGTGTGACTGCAGATCATTCCAAGGTACATATGGGAAAGAATGTTACACCATCAGTAATTCCAGGAGGCGTATTGGAAAATTAGCAACATCAGGAAAGCTTTTAATTTGCATTAGAATTACTTTTTAATATAATTCTCTTTCTCCTTATATTAGGATCAACAAGCAAAACGTACCTCTCACCTTCAAGATTGCTTTTTCATTTCAATGGGCAAGTACAACTCTTTTTACTGCTTTGAGTGCTTCAACAAAATAAATCAAGGAACAGAAGTTTCAAAGGAGAACTCTGTAGACATCAAGATATTGAGAACTCAGCTTGCATAGTCTGTGGGCAATACAGCACAATGATTGATGGGATCTTTCTCCAGAAAATTAGGAAGACCTTTCAGGACACAGAACAGATACTGTCTTGTGGGGCGATGGTCTGTTCTGAGGGTATTGGTGTGGAGAGAGATGCAGACAGATTTAAGTTCTCATAGCAATTACTTGTAAACTCAGAGTTCTCCTGAAAATTATGGAAGTATTTTAATTTTTCTTAAATGTAAGTTATAATCTTGTATTTACGTCTATAAATAGTGGACTTTGTGAAATAACAGTATATTGAATTAGTTTCAATAACTGTTGTTCACAATGATTTATGTTCATTTAATTCATCAGAATAGTGTGGTAAACCATGCTTTCAAATCCTGAATCAGTTTGTTTGTTTTTAAACGATACTACTCCAATTTTATCTACCTACGTCTTCTAATTACATGAAATTTAAGGCCCTTTTAAAAAAACATGAATGCTTACAGTATTTCTAGCTTGTAAAATTAAGACCATGCCTATAAAAGATTTGTTTTTCTATTACATTAACTCAGCACAATATTTAGTCCTATTAGAGGACAAAATGCAATCCATTCTCTGAAATTTGGCCTTAGAGAAATACTGACTTGCAAAGCTCTGTAGGTCCAATAAAGAAATAAAGGTATACATGTCATAAATATTTTCTCCCTTTAAAAAAAAAAATTGATACTGTACAGCATACTAAAATATTTAAAATGATACATGCAAACTTAGCCTTGATTTTAATTCAGTGTAAAATAATGTTTCCGTACTGTTGCATATTGCATTAGTTGTAGACACCTATTGTATATTATCATATTTTAGACACAATGGGGGAAGCAACTACTACTTCAGCAGATCTACATTACATGGCATCTGTGGGAAAAAAGACAGCAGAAACTCAGGATGCAAGTACAAATACTCACTCAGGTGAGTGCAACCTGTGGGACCTACAGTAACCAACTGTTTCTGGTATTGCTTCTTGTTAATTGTGATGTTTGGTCAGTTTCAAAAATGGAGGAAGTTTTTAAAAGGATAAACCTTCCTTCGTGCTGCATCTATTTCAAAAACTATTGAATCAGAGGGTATTAGAATATAAATTACAAAATGTTTGTTAAAATAATTATAAATCAAAATTTTACTGATGCAATTATGTAAGAATATCCACATGCTTTCTCTAAGCCAGTTCTGCTGTGACTTTTTCTGAAAGCTCTTCTTATCTTCAGTTGACTTTATCTAAATGCATTTTTGACAGTGTTGGACATGTGACTGAAACTGGTTCCCTGCCTCTTTCCCCTGCACTTTGCTTTGATTTGGAGCTGGGAAATAAAAAAAAAAAAACAAACAAAACACATTCACATAATGGCATTTCCTTCAATTCACACCTTTTGGTTTCTGCCTGTTTGTTTGTTTGTTTCCTATCAAGTGCTCAAATCATATCGAGATGTTGGAATCACTGTTGGAAATGAGGTTTCTGAAGTTCAAAAACATGAGTTGGTCACGTCCATTCCTGCATCAGGTATGGCTTCAGTGTTTCTGTCCTTCATCTGTTGTTTGGGAAGTCTATAAAAATACTACCATTTTAACATGTTTTTGTACATGAGATGGCTTAATGCTGGTTATAGATAAGAAGATGCTAATTTTTCTGACATCTTGAAACCCAGTGTGAAATAATTGTGATACTGCTTATGAAGAGTTTGGCTGTAATTTTTCATGGTGCAGTGTGCCTGTGCTTTAGTATTGCTGTATGAGGAGGTACATTTGTGGATTTTAACTTGATTTTAGTGACACTTAGTCTTGGGAATTGGTCTTGCGTAGACCAATTGACCAGTGGGATGTTAAGACAGATCCACGTGAAATCGAGCTCAGATAATTATGCAGTTGTTCCATTCAGCTGCTAAGCTGTGTAACAGCTGTGTACCAAGTAACAGTGTTCAGTCTCAACTAGGAATTTTATTCCCAATCAGTTGTATTTTGCATCAGTTTGTAGAACAAAAAATTGAAAGTAACTTTGAATTTAGGCTAAAGAAGATTTATTTCTATTTGGATTTTCTCCCCCCGTTTTATGAATCCTTGATAAATTTTGCTATGTAGAATTCCAGTATGTAATATTTTTTCTTATGGTACCAAGTAAACAGCAATTTTTTCTTTCCTTTAAAATTCAACAGTGTTGTTCTGTTGGGAAGATTATTTTACTACATCACATAATTTCTTTGCAAAGAGGTCTTTCTAGCCAAGTAGTATTGTTTATTTCAATCAAGTTAAGATGCAGATTTTACTTTTTTAACCTGTTCAGGAGAGACTGGAAATTAATAGCAGTTTAGACTACAGCATGTTACTTTGATTTTAATCCTTTGAGTATTTTTCTGCTAATATATTAGTAAAATAAAAAATAATTTAGTAATTAATTTATCTTTAGAAGGCAACATTAAAGAAACTATTAGTCTACATTGTCTCTGTTTATTTTTTAAAAGAAATGTTAATCAAAGCTTTTCTTTTAGTTTAGAGAACACAGACTTCTTTCTACATAGTTTATCTTAAGTTTTATGGCTTTTACTGTAAATCTAATACTGACTATTATTGTTTTCTCATAGAATCATCTAGTGCCCCTGAGATACTAGCCCCAGACATGTATTTAGACCTGAGATTTCCCACTGAAGTGAGTGAGAGACCTTTGTCATCCTTTCTGTCAGACGCACCTGATTCGGTTAGTGATCCAACGTACATATGGTTAAAGTACATTTAAAGTACACTGGTTTTCTTAGCTTATGAACTTGGGTTCTTTATATCTGGATGAGTCAGTTGTGTAATACTGTAGGGAAGATTGTGGTTATTTTGTCTCCAAAACAAAAAGCCAAATCAAAGTGGTAAGAGGTAAACACAGGAAGTGGATAACAATGTACTGTAAACAATGTATGCAAAACACATACTGCATAATTTTTCATAATTTTGGTCTTATTTAGAGTGAACATGAATATATCAGCGTGATTGACATTGAAGGCAGTGACATCCTTAACAATTTGCCCATGATACCCGAGTCCGAAGAAGAGTTAGTTACTGCAGAGCAAAATGAGAAGTTTGAAATTCCATCTGCTGCGAAACTTCATCGCATGGCAGCTTCTGTTTCTAATGCAATTCCACCTGAGGCACTTCAGAAGAAAGGTAAACCATTTTTGTTTTAAATCTGGGGGGAAAAAAAAGCTTTACACTTCTGTTGTAACCCTTTTACCTCCCACAGAAAACGCACAGCCTTTCCCCAACTTATCTCCTGCTTTTTCAGTCTTATGCATCAAAACATTCATACATTTGACTTGTTCTGTGACGATTCCTGCCTGCTAAAACATACTGCTAGGTACAGCACAGCTAAGCTTAATTACTTGCAGTACTTAAGTGTTTGCACTTTATTCAATGTTGTTGATACAGTCTGTTTTTTATTTCAAGATGATCATCTGGAAAGTATATCAAGCCAGGTGCAAAAGGAAGATAAGAAGTTGGATTCTGATGGAGACAGAGTAACTTGGAACATAGTGCATGACAGAACTTTTCCTTCTTCAGGGCTTTCATCCAAAGTAATTGACACAGAATACTTCTCCCTAACACAGCAGAAAATGGACATGCAATTAGAGAAACTACAGAAAATAACAGAAGATGTGGAGAAGGATTTCAGAAATACCAAATTGGTGAGTTTTGACTGCTAACTGTTGTGTCTGAAACAGGTTAATTTTGTAGCTTCTTTCAGCTAAGGACAAAACCTAAATTTTGGAATTAGTGTTTCCACATGTGTTTAGTATAAGTTGAAGGAGACTGAGAATAATATACAGTTCTTTCACATGTAGTGCTACATCTGTTGGCTGTTGTGGTTACTTACAGTGGACCAAATGCTGGCTGGAATGGTGATGTTTTTAGTAAATGGGCAGAATACATTTAATTTCT